TAAAGTTGGTAAAATACAAGAAAATGAAACATAAGTCTAATTTGCTGCACCTGTAGCGTTTAACAGACAGTCGTGGATCAAAAGATTTTTTTGTTAATTCTAAGGACAATTAATGTCTTAATTAAGATTTTTGAAGGATCTAAATTGTGCTAGCTTTAATCTGCCTAGACTCTCCAGTTGTAAAATCATCATATCAAAGATTATTTGTGTCTGTCGCAGGCTTGTAAACACGAAGCCAGAGCAGCAGCAGCTGATGTGTGAAGAACACCAAGAGGAGAAGATCAACATCTACTGCTTGTCCTGCCAGACGCCGACCTGCTCCATGTGCAAAGTGTTTGGACAACACAAAGACTGTGACGTGGCTCCGCTCAACAGCGTCTACGTAAGGCAGAAGGTAAAGAACAATCGATACCTTATCAGCTTTATTCAATTATCTTAAGAGTCTTATTTCAAACCACCGGACTTTATTCCACTTCACAGCACTATACTCCACTTTAGTTTGCATCACTCCAGTTCAGTTAACACAGTTTCATTCTATGTTGTGCCTCCTAAGTTCACTTCATTTCATTCAGTTTTCAGACTCCTTATGCACCCCACTGCATCCTACTCAGCTTTACTCCACTCTAATTAATTCCACTTCACTTTACTCCCGTTTCCTTCACTTTTCTTTAGACTATTTGCACTCCTGTTTACTTCACTCCATTCACTTCTGCTTCTCATCATTTCCGTACCACTTTCAACATGGCTCAAGTCTGAATCACATGCCGTCACATTAACAGAAAGGTTCACACAAGCAATGCACTTGTAGTTGTGAAAAGTGAAACCAAGTGTGAAAACATGACAGGGGAGCAAGACACAGTTTGGTGCCAAAGTCTTAACACTCCTTTCTTGTTCACTGGGCTTTACAAGTTCACATCTATTAAAAACTGAAATACTTGCTGTAATGAAGACAGAGTCTGTATCAGGTCAGATTAATGAGCCTCACCAACAGTACAGGTAATCTGAGGTTTGACAAAATGTTAAGTTTAGTTTGTTACTTCCAGCTGTTTGCAGGAGTCTTTCCTCTGAGTTTATTTCATAACTGCAGCATTGAAAAGCAGCAGGATCCGTATGATCAGCTTTAAAGAGAGAGAGTCATACATATTTACCAATGTAGTACTTCATTAATTACTTATAATTATTAGTTATCCCTGACATGGACACAAAATCAGTGCATTCACCCATCCATTATCTATACACCGCTTAATCCTCACTAGGATCGTGGGGGGCTGGAGTCTATCCCAGCTGACTCAGGGTGAAGGCAGAGGACACCCTGGACAGGTCACCAGTCTATCACAGGGCCACACTTAGAGACAGACAACCAAGCACCCTCACATTCACACCTACGGACAATTTAGAATCACCAATTAACCTCAACATGTTTTTGGACCTTGTGGGAGGAAGCTGGAGAACCCGGAGAGAACCCACGCTGCACGAGAAGAACATGCAAACTCCATGCAGAAAGATCATAGTGTCCCCACTGGGACGCAAACCAGCGACCTTCTAGCTGCGACGCAATGGTGCTAACCACCGAGTCACCTTGCAGCCCTTTTTAGTGTTCAGTGAACCATTAATACACTTAATTATTTGGGAAGTTTGATACGCCCATTAGTTTAGATCTAGTCTTTTATTTGCATTACTATGTTTTATTATGTACTATATATCTCTCCATGTATTGTCCAGTCTCTGTGTCACTGGGGTGGACATGTGTGAATGAAGCCGTGAGGAGCATTAACCAAAAAGAGATCTCTGTCTGAATGACAGATTGCTGTGAAAGTTAAAGTCTGTAAAAGGGACAGCTTTAATGAAGAAAAAAAATCTACGTACCCCATATCTGAAAGGGTTTTATTTGAATCTCTGCTTTGGTCACTCACCCTTTCATCAAGCCACTTCCCTTAAGTTCACTTCATGAAACTTCTTCACACCTTGCTTTACTGCAGTTCTCATCATGTCTCTTTGCTCCACTTGACTCCACATCACTCCACGCCTCCATTCACTTCGCTTGATTTCAGTCCAATAAAACACCTAACATCCTTTCACTTCCGTCTCTGCTCATCTTCAGGAATCACCACTGAATTTTAATTCAATTTACATTTCTTCACCAACTTGAACAGAGCTGTGCTGCTAAATCAGAAGCTTGTTTCAAAGGTCAAACAGCCACCAAGTTCATACAACAGTCTAGACACTCCAAACACTGTGTGTGGGATCCCTCTTATAAAGACATGACGACCTTATCTTCCACCCTTTCTTCTCACATTGCTATTTTTTTAAAAAACTTCCTTCTATGTGTCTGTATCCTGTCCTGTTCGGATGCTGGTATCTCTTTACAAACACAAAAACCAACAAGATGCTCACTGATCTAACATCCAGAGTAAATGCACTGTGTACATACAAATATGTAACCACTGAAATCAGGACGCCTGCACGTGGCTGGCTGCTCAACTAAACATCGGTGACATTGCTCTGTTTGCAGGATCAAAGTATAAGTTACGATTGTTAACGCTTGGACACACAAAGTCACACAAAGACAAAGTGCAGCAGTTTTGTCATGCAGATGGCAGCGGCAGCAGCGTCCGACGTGTTATTGAGCAGTTGGCTTTGTTGACATTTCAGTGCCGGCCTCTCCATCTCTCACTCTGTCTCTGAATCACTCATCTGAAATTTAGATGAGGCTCAGGAAAGTTGTTGATTCTCCATCTTTATGCAATCTGAAAAACAAAAGTTTTCACTTGGCCTCCACAGAAGTGAGAATGTTTGTTATGCTGGCAGCTCGGTAAATGACACTTTAGCTGTAGAGTAGCTGCGACTGACTCTAAAAATGTGCATGATGTCATAACATACTCTAAACAGATGCATGCTGGTGACTCACGTTGTTGTGCTTTGTGGCGGCAGGCTTACCAACTAGAAGGCACTCAGTGTACACTCCTCCAAAAGAAACAAAGCACTTAGAACTTTATAATCAACGTTTGCAAGAATGCCGACTTGTTTGCCATCATGATTTGCTATAGCGTCTTCAATATTGCTGAATATTTTCTCCATAAATTGTCTGAAAATAGCTTAAAAAGTGGCCATCACAGTTTCCCTGAGCAAAAGATGGGAAGTTGCAATGTCTTGTTTTGTCAAGAGATTTGGTTATTAGAGACAAAAAACAAAAAAAAACTCAAAAAGAGCACTGAAATTTGAGAAATGAAACAGTTGAGGATAGTCTTAAGAGCCCACCTAACCAACACAGGACTGGCAGACACATGTCCTAATGCAGACCCCTCTTGTCCTCCATCTAAAGACCAACCAGCAGATCATGTATGTATGTTTTGCCCCAAACTCTTTACATTCTGGACCAGCATTTTTTTTTGACACTTTTACAAAAAAAAACAATCTTTCCCAATCCCTTGTGTGGCATATTTGGGATTATGCAAGAGCCCTGCCGCTTTAAAAGCAACACAGTCATGTCTGTAACTGCTAGAAGGATAATCCTGCTCTTCTAGAAGCAGCAGTCTCCACCTTGCTTCAAAACATGTACAAGAGACATGAGGTATTTCTTAAAATTAGATTTAAAAAAATTAAATTAAATTACCACACAGTCATAGAGACTATAAAACAGTAAACAAGTACCTGGACCTGTTACAATATTACAAATACTTACACACAGCTCTTAACGAAAGAGACCAAGAGGATAATTAGAGCATGAGGACCCCTTCCTACCACCCCCGATGTATTTTTTCTTTTTTTTGTGTGCGTTTTTTTTTAATGTTTCCATGTTTTGTTTAGTTATTTTTCATTGCAATTACAACAATAGCTGCTGTTCTACATGCACAGTTAAGAACTCTCTCACTCTCTAACTCGTGAGAACTGACTTAGGTAACTGATTGATTGCAGATGTGTTTTTTTGATTAATTTTTGCGCTCATCGGCTGAAACGTTTCCACTGTAGTTGTAGGATGAATGGTGAGAGATAACCATTTAGAGGTGGAGTGTGTAGAAAGTTGTGGCATTTAGAGGCAAGATAGCAAATTGGAGTCAGCCTCACTGTCCGCTTACAAGCACGTAGGAGGATGCTGGAGTGGCATCTAAAGCTAAGAGGACGTGGACATTGATTCAAGAGTTATAGTAAATATCATGTGTACCAAATTTGGTGAGCATTGGATAAACTGCTGTGATAACTGAAACTACCGTCTACCTTCTCTAACAACCAACTGACACATCCTTTAAGCTTAGGTACAAGGTGGTGATGGTTCATTTACTGATACAGCTCAAAAGACTTTAAACTCTTTCGTTTTCAAATTTTGTTTTAGTGGAAGGTTGTTGTTATTATTTTACTTAATCAACGTCAGTGACGGTCTGAATGTTTGCAGACGGAGCTGAGCGACGGCATCGCCATGTTGGTCGCCAGTAACGACCACATCCAGGCAGTCATCTCCCAGATGGAAGAAATCTGCCGCACTGTAGAGGTTAGACAAACACACAAGATGATTCTTTCTGCTTTCTGTCTTATAGAAAAGGTGAAATGTCTAACTCCAAACATTTTAACAACACACGGCTATGAGCAAACATCGTGTCACCGTACAGCAACTAGCAAATCTGCTTTGTTTTCTTCTTTTGGTTTTGTTTGTTTACCAGTCAGAGGCAGACAGCAGTAACTATAGAAACAGCAGAGATGAGACCTATATAAGCTGTTAAAGCGTAATTTAATGAAGACAGCACTGTAGACATGCTGTAACTAGCTGGAGTGCTGTCTCTGTGGTTTGATTTTCACATCTATTTTGATTGTTTCTATACAAAAAATATGCTTTTTTTTTTTTTGGAACCATCAGTTACTGATAAATTAGAAGAAAGAATGTAATCATACAAATCAGAGTGGTCTTAACTTAATTTGGACAGGTATGTTTTGGCTTTGTAGCACAGAATACAGAGTTCCAGATGGGTAAAAACAGCCACAGATACACAACGCTGCACATCCTGTAAGGCTGCAGTCAGTCATATTGCAGTCCTTCAGATTCTCTGTGGTGTTGAGGACAAGAACTTTCAATCTCACCTCAGGACAACGGGCAGCGGCAGAGAGAGCACCTGGCCAACCGCTTTGACAGCTTGGTTTCCATCTTGGAGGAGCGGAAGCAGGAGCTGGTGGGGCTCATCACCAAGGAACAGGACGACAAGCTCAAACACATGAGGTCCCTCATCCGTCGGCACAGCGACCACCTGGAGGCCGCCGTCACTCTGGTGGAGTCGGCCTTGCAGTCCATGGAGGAGCCACACATGTCTTTGTTCATACAGGTGGGTGAAACTACACGTCGGATCAGTGTGATGCTGCAGGTTGAACTTCAGGATGAGACAGAAACAGTGTCTGTTTGCAGCAGGGAAGCTACTAGTGGAGCTGTTAAAGAAGCAGGTTCCCTAAATATACAGTGTGACAGTATATACAGTGAGCCAAGATAAATAGATCCAATAGAACCCAAATGAACATTGTTTTTCACATTTCATCTGAACTGTTTTAACCACTTGTCAATGTTTTTAGATAATGGTTTAAACTTCCCTCCTTTTTTGTCACCTAGTTTTCATTCACTCTCCTTCTGTTTCTAACTAATTACTGAATTTGTCTTTAATTGCACCCCTCAGGCTTTCCACTGAAATAACTTTGTTCTCAGTAAAATCTGCTGTTAAACCCACAGACGACAGTTTAAACACAAGTGGAAGCGTGTTATTTATTTACATACTTTAAATTATCACTCTTGTTATTTATTTAAACCCACTCACCTCACATCCAACATGTTTGCTCCACTTTCATTTAAAGTCCACCCATCGATATTTTCCCAGCCCTCGGCCTCACTGGACACTATGATCCAGGCTTGACGGTCCCGGGGCCATTAATGATCAAGAGCTTTATGAGCAGGGCTGCAGGGCGAGGAGGGAAACTGGAGCAGTGAGCCCAGCAGGATGCCTCTGTGTCGGGGCCTTTACGTCCACAAACCTCCTGGGTCTCTGGTCCTGCATCCGTTAAGACACAGACAGCATCACCTCTCACATTCTCATCATTTATTCAGACATGTGCAAAGACAATAAAAAGCGACCAGGCCCTCCAGTGTACTGTATTGATCCACTAATCACATGTTTGTACATGCAGGAACAGTCTGCAGACTTTTGGAACACACATAGCGATCCAGCAAATCCAAATAGGAAAGAAGTGGTAGATATTTATTGTTGAACCTATTAGGGAAAAAAATGGCTGGAGAACTGTTAAAAATGATTTGCAGTTCACCACGTCTTATAAAAGAAATTTTAAGTAGAGGTCTCTGTCTACAGTTTGTCCATTTTGAACATTACTTAATTCATTCAGCTGTCCAAATATTCCTTTTACTTTCTGCACAGTGCATGATGGTAAATAGTTGCCAGTTAATTACAGTCCAACATTGAGCATCACACTTGGTAAAATTATTTTAATCTCATTCAAATAACAAGATTTATATTTGCAAATCTAGACGATTTTTGTTTATCACTTGCTTGTTTTAAGGCTTATTTAATTGTCACGCGTTCTCAGCCAGACATCTGATGATGCTTTGTAACTGCTAAAACTACAAGTAAGGTCATCAGTTTGACAAGCAGAAACCTAAGTAACATCAATCTGTAATTTAGCATCCTTTAACCTGTTTATTAAATTTAAAAAAAGTTTAACTTTCCTCTCAAACATTGAGATTTGCTGCTTTCAAGTTTTTGGACTCCTCATCTGTCAAAACAACAATTTCACAGTTTTCTAATGACAATTCACTAGACGCTTGTAAAGGAGTTTGGGGAGGAGGGAAGAGTAGATTTGTGATTACAGGCAGCATGCAGCAGGACGATCAGTGCTGTCATATGGGGACCAAATGAAATGTTAATAAGGGACGTCTATTGTCTATAACAGGTTGTTGACATGATTGGATGGTAGAATGAAAAAGTGACTACAAAAATAAAAGGCTCAGTCAGCTACAGCCCCAAACTACTATTCTAAATACATGTTTAATATATATTATATATGAATAAATATCTGTTTTAAACATTGATACAGCACAGATTGCCAGAAACATGTAGATTTTGTCTGTTTCAATTCCTGCCACTTGAAAACAGAGCAAAGAAGGATTCAGCAATTTTCGCGTTGAAGTGTTGCAATGTGGACAGAACACGCAAGTTTTTAAACAGGTTTTCAAATTGCACGGCTTAATGTGGTTGTGGTTTCATGAACACCAAATTTAATTAAAGCACTTTGCATATTTTCAGGTATTTTTATGAGTAAAGTTTTATGATGTACTTTGAGACTGACTATAACCTGGAAGAAGTGGCGAGCAGGCAGATGGAGTTTGTGACCTCCGTTCAGTCTCTCGTGTCTCTGAAGAGACGAGCAGGTTGTAACTAAATTCAGCATCTTTACTGCTGATGCAACACGTCACCGAGGAACGTGTGTGTTTGCTGTGTGTGTGTGTGTGTAGCAGAGAAAGTCGGAGCCTCAGGTGTCGCTGTTTTATGTTCAACTACATCCTCTGCCAAAACATGTGTTAAAGAAGATGTTTAGTGGAAGCAGGTAGTAAACACCATGAAGCCATTCTGGCAGCTGGCAGTATGTCTTAAAACCGTGTTTTTATTTTACACGCCGATGTGTCTTACAGATACTTCTGACAGATGTTGTTGGCAGACGACTGAAGCACAATGTGATTAACTTTGTCTCTTTGCTCTTTTCTGTCTGTCATCGTCTTCTCTCTCACTCGCAGAGTGCCAAAGTCATCCTGGAAACGTAAGTGTTTTGTCCTGCAGCTCCTATTCTGAGGTCCTTTAACATGTACCTTTTCTGCTGCTAAACACATCTACATTTCTTTGTGAAATATTGCACTTTTCACTCCACAATGTTTATTCAACAGCTGACACCTGGGATCTTTCTGCGTGGAGTCTGCATGTTCTCCCCGTGCAGCGTGGGTTCTCTCCGGGTTCTCCGGCTTCCTCCCACAGTCCAAAA